TGAAACGACTCCCACACAAGTGTGTTTAAGCACTAAGACTTACGCTTACAACTCCCAAGGTATTATCACACTATCACAAGACCAAATTTTCGTGACCGTTACACAGCTGACATTTATTCACATTCCGTACACGTTGCCGTCCCTCTGAAACTAGATGGTCTTCATTGGCAAGCGAAAGGCTATAATGACGGATTTTGCGATATTTGCGAGATATTCGTTTGGTAACCTCAAAAGTATCGAGAAAAGTTGAACCTTCCCGATTCAGAAATTATATTGCTACGAGATGACATTTATTTGCAAGCCGCTTTGTGTAACTCATTTATTCCCATCGTCGTGAAGAGAGATTTCCGCACAGGCACCATGCCTTTGAGGTCAATTCGAAAACTTAAATTTGGAATAGTTTCTGGGAAACCATACACCAAATGAACAAAAGAAACTAGTGAATTATTAATTTTTAGCACTGATATAATCAAAGGATAGGATGACCTTCACACGAAGGTCGAAGGTACTTCAGAGAATTGAAGATGACACACGGAAGAATTTGAAGTCTATCGTTAATTATTTAATTTTAATTTTAAATCACACGAACAAGAGTGGAGTACATGCTTGAGGGAGCACCACTTTTATAGTCATAACTCCAGTGATTCTCGGTTTAGGGATGAAATTGTGGATCTACCTAGAACAGACAACTCTCCTTTCCTAAGGGTTCACATATATCCTAAGAAGAAATAAATATTGCTAAACAATTACACAATCACATCCAGATGACACGTCTCAGTTTCGTCACCACGACTAGCGCCAATGTTAGCGTCTAAAATTATTGGAATTGATGCTAGTTATCGGAGAGGTAAAACTATTCTCAACTGAGTGTGCATCGTCATCCAAATAATAGAAATTATACTTACTTATTCCTCAGATCACCCAATAACTGATGAAAACTGAATCTCGTAGGCCGGGTTAACCAGATGGATTTAGCCCGTTTGTCAAACTGAGCACTCTGTTGGTTGGTACACTAATTCCAAGCTCGAAAAAGAGGTGAAAATGAAGCATCGAATTTGTTTGTTCTCGTAACCAAATCCGAAGGCGTCTGAGCTGTTTCCTATACATGTAGAAGCACAGCACCAACCTGCTGCTGTTTCGAGATGCACAGACAAAGCAGTCTACTAAAGAGCCGCCATAGAATTAGGTCTTTGAACGTAACTGAAGTATTTTACCAGGCGAGCTACAAATTAAGGAGGCGGAAAATCTACCAATATAGGATGTGAGCTCGTGTTTCGTGGAGTTTCCTCAACAATGCACCATATCAGTTTACATTTCTTACTCAACTTCTGGATCGATAAATATTATCCGGGGATTACGTAAGGACCAGTGCTTCGTCTTCATCGTTAAAAACAACCTTCCGAATGTACACTGGTCACAAATCAGGCAGTTTCTGGATCGTACTAAAATCGCTTGAACAGTCATACAACCTGAGGATACATTTAGTTTCTAAAGAGTATTTGAAGAATATAAACTATCTGGCTCCAAGGAAATCCAGCTCGACGTAGCACAATGAAAAATAGTATCAGAGTCAGTGATCGCTCTCCATAAGAGGTTGGTTATGATGCTTGCTCTAAGAACAATCTTATCTTACAAGGAATATGAAAGTCGAGCACAAGTCAGGTTTGGGGGGAGGTAGAAACTCATATTCCATAACTAAAAGAAAAACCATTATTAACTCGAGTGCATTCCCAGGAGCTTATGACATAGTGGAGCCCGCCTTCTCCCCATGCCCGGTATCAGTATCTATTCAAGTGAATAACGACCACTTCTTCTAGGCTCGTATCCTACAGGTGCTGAGATTGAAAAAGTCAACCACGATGGTTGTGGAGTTACATCGAAAGAATGAAATCAAATGAGACATAAAACAATGAACTTTGGGCTAAAACTGACAAAATACTTGCTCTAAACAGTACCTCAACGATGCTAGATGGATTATTTACCCCAATAAAGACAGTTATGAAAGCAATCAAGTTCAGAGGCTGTTTCGTGACCACAGACAATAACCGGTAAACCGCAGTACTAAAGTAATTCCTAAATGCATGTATCGAATTGAGCGCATGGAATTCACCCACAAAATCAGCTGATTAGAAGTGCAATGCACACCACTGTGACACAGAGGTCAATGCAAGAAGAGTTATTAGTAGAAGTGTCCGAAGAGCACGCATATTGCTATAAACGGGTGTGCGAGCCCATACCGCACATGAAACCCGCTCGTCGAACCAGAAAATTTGCTTGGCTCAAACGGTCTCAAAAATCCTCAGTATGGCCGGGGGGGGGTGTCTAGGGTCGCGGCTGGTCACCCTTACCTGGCACCTTTAGAGATGCTCCCATACGACCAAGCGTCTTAAATAGCCTATGCTGAGCAAGTCCTACTCACTACCTTCTCTAGGCGGAGGTTNGCGGAGGTTTTCTCACCAAAGTGAGAAGATGAAAAGCCGATATATGACCGGGTAGATGTGAGATTTCGGACAATCTCATTTCAAATTTCGTCAATTCGATGAGATACGTGCCTGGCCGAAAACCGTTTCCAAACCAACGAAGAGGTGTACGAACCACACCCACACCTTTTCGGTTGTGCAATGGTCACCAGCTTAATTGGAAATCGAGGTTTATTGGGCACGTTGGACGTTTGACCCCCTCAGAAGGGCGTAGCATTCCATGAACTGGACATCGACCCCCAATTTACTGCACACCGCCCCGCTGCCTTACGGGTCTTGGAACGCCCTTCCATCTCATNCACTATTGAATCTTTCAAGCAGAGACTCGACGAAACCTTGGCACACCTCACATTCGTACACCAAAGGCAAACGGAAATCCACTGTAGCCTACATTCTCTGGCTCCTACCCGGATCTCTATGAGACTCCTCTTTCGATGTGTAACGATTCATCTGTGTAAATATCCTATGGGACAAGAGAAGCACCAGCTTGTAAGCTATTTCCATAGTAAAACTTTGACTTTGGGTCAGGCTTTGGCTAGCCGAAGGCTCCGATTGTGAATTCCCTAAGAAAGTTCACCTGTTTCGGTCTGGGCAACCTGGCAGTATTCCACCCGGATGCAAATCATGAAACGTCTTTCTTTTTCATAAAGATTATTGTACCATGATTTGTTTGGCACAGTCTGGACCCAGAAGAGTGTGAAATATAATAATAATATATATTTGCTCAAACAAGGTGATTTATTAGCGAACCCAATCCATCAACTCTGTTTCCCCTAAATTGCTGTGGTCCTGGCATCCCAAAATAAAATCACGGTAAGCCGCGAGGAGAGACAAAAAACAACCTCACTGTCATGTGAATAAAGCTGAGGGATAGATAATAATTTTTTGCATTCAGAACCCACAGACCACAGCTATATTAGACAGTCTGTGATCATTCAATCGCATATTTTTACGAGCGTGCGAATGGTGGGTCATTCCGAGAGACATGCAAAAGCTACCCCTAGGCTATTGAGGCGGTGGACCAAATTTGTGATGTTTAACTAGGAGCACGAAGAATACCAATCGCTAAAGCTTTGTACCTCACCAACCTGCATTCAAAAGTATCATTATCAACAATTTTGGAGCAGATTTGAACTGTATAACCAGCTTGATTCGAACTATGAAAAGAGCGAACTGCAGAAATTCGCGTCTTATACTAATTGGTAATCTAGTATTAGCGGAATTCAGGTTAGAGATGCTACTTCTACGGTCAAAAATGGTTTTCTATCTCAAGATGTTCATTTGTAGTTCATTACGCGATACAACTGGGCATAGATTCTGTAATAACCAGAAAAAGAATAGACTGCCATTGGACCCTAGGAAAAT